GCAACGTATATCGTAACGTTCATCGAAATGTTGTCCGTGTCGATAGTCATTGATGAACTGGTGTTGCTTGATAAGAGATTTACCATGTGCACGAGAGTCCTGAATGGGTTTTGTGGTTACGTAGCTATTTTTGACTCTGCCCATGTGATTAACCTCTTGTACTCCAGGTGATTCAGTCAAATGAATGACATCATCTTTCATCTAACCCTTGATGTCACTTTGCTCTCATGGCGTCTAGACCTAGATTGTAAATGTCTGCTCCTGGCCGCTTTCCTGACATTTTTGGAATTCGAAGCAACTCTCACTTTCTCAATAATGCGCTGAATGTCATTGAATTTGCATTCTTTATTGAGTCTACGCGTGTGACCCAAGCCGAGAACGTTTCATCCTTGCCTTGAGTGGCAGCATAAAATAATGAGAGTTTGGCGTTCTCAGTCTTCGACGGATGTTGTAGCTTGAATTAGCCAAGCAGAGCGATTGGGTCCTGGAAGTCTGCCGCCGTGCAAATTGCTCCAATGTTATTGAATTCGTCATCTTGATGACTTCGGAGAAACATCGCGGCCTTTTCTCCGTTGGAGGTCTTGCTGGTGTCGGAGAAATTCTGCAATTTCTATATGTAGGCGCTGTCATCGCTACTAAATCTAGGGAAATCCAGCTTGACGAATTCAGTCATATATGTGGAATTGTTCAAAGCATCCATCGCAAAGTTCGGACATAATTTGGCCTACATGAAATATTTATATAGGATCCTCTATTGAATATTAATACCATGATGTTTTTAGACTCTATAAGACATAATTTTATTTTATTATCATAAATTACATTTTATTTTTATTATAAATTACATTTTTTTATTAACCGTTGTAACTAGTGTTGTTAAACGGCTCGTTTTGAGCCGATTTTTTAAAACGGCTAACTCAATATATTAGCCAGAAAAATTATGTCTAAGCCTCGAGATTTCGTTTATATATGTCTAGACCTTTGTTGCTTCTATGAGCAAAATCTTCAGGTTTGCATATTTTTATGGATGGAATAATAAGTTAGCCGTTTTTAAAAATCGGCTAAAAACGAGCCGTTTAACAACACTACTTGTAACCAAAAACAATTTTTCTTTTTATATCTTTTAACAATAAAAAAATAACCAATATTTGAAATACAAAGTGATATTAAAAAAAATGTAACGTTAAAATGTTAATATAAAATTTTCAGCGATTAAATTTAAATACAAATTGATATCAAAAAAATGTAACTTTGAAATGATATTAAAAAAATGTTAATATAAAATTTTCACCAAAAAGGTATAATCTCTATTATTTAACAAATTTCTTTCAATAATATATAAATTTTATAATAATTAATAAATTTTATATTAATAGATTTACAGTAAATATCACAAAATTATTGTATATTTTATAACATATATATTTCTTAACTAAATAATTAAAGAATTGTTAATAATATTAGAGAATTGATTAATAAACATCAAATTATTTTGAGCCTTTTAGTGATGAAAATAATAGTGAGGATATAAGGTTCTATAAGAGATGATCTCTTTGTTGGTAGTTAAACTCAGGCAAACATGGAGCTTGAATCAGATGCAGAATGAGTTTATAATGATGAAATAGATTATGTCATTGAAAACAAACCACTAAATATAAATTTGGATAAAAATGTTTTAAATTCACAATATCCCCAATTCTCTCTTTTTTGAAAAAAATATTATCTTATCCTGTAGAATACTGAAATTTTTTATCATTACAAATTTGTATACAAAGTATCAGAGAATATTAGATATAATAGAATCGATCATTGGAGTATTATATTCAAAAAACCAAATCGATGTCCTTTATATTAAAAATATACAGGGAGATGGAAGCATGCAAAAAATTTGGAGTATGCCTCCATGAAATTTTTTTCAAATAAATTATATGCGTTTTTAAAGTATTGAGATGCTGAATAGATATTTATCCGATATATTTTTGTGTATTGAAGAGATTTTTGAAAATATTTTACATCAATTTTTTTTGTATTGATAATTTATTTTTCAATAAAAAACATATTTATATTATTTATTTGATTAAATTAATCCGAGATATTTTACATTTTATCTTAATAAATATTAAATTAACAAATATATGATGGAAATATTACAGCGACTGTGGTGATATTAAATATCAGATCGTATCAGCATCGATATTTAGCCTTTCCAAAAAATATTGGATCGGGCCGATATATTTTATTATTTTTGGATATTTTATGATTTTATTATATATAATTTTATTTTATTAAGAATTTCATAATAATAAATTAATGAAAAGAACTAAAATACAATTTATAAGTTGTAAGTTTAAAAAATAGTTAAATTAGTCAATTTTTAAAAACGTTTAATTCAATATTTTGTGTAAAAGTACAAGTTTATCGATTTTGCCCACAGCTGCCAGAAAATTTTGACTTCTATTAGCGAAATTCCTAATCTTAGGCAATAATATTTGGCGAAAATCCTGATTTAATCCTATTCTAAAAATCAGTAAATGGAGTTGTTTAACAATACTACTTACACCCCATAAACATTGCAAATATTTCTACTGATATTATTAACTTTTGAAGAATAAAATAGACTTGATCATTCGTAAAAGTTAGATGATTTTTAATTAAAAAAAAATATTGATATTTTTATGATGTTTATCCAAAGATAGATGGTAAATAATTATTAATTTATATATCGGATTAGGCTTTTAGTAAAATCGGATCAGTAAAAAATTTGTGGATCGGCACAGCCCTAAAAATAATCTATATAAAAAACATATTCTTGATAAATTTCTTAGCAAAAAGAATAAAGATTTTTAATAATTTTTCGAATATTAAACAATTATAAATTAAAACACTATCATTTCCACCAACGCACCAGTTAAACATTCAGCATTACTAAAATTTTAACTGATAGTAGATGTCTCTTTGATAAAAACTCAATTATTATATTGTTAAAATCTAAAAATAATTAGTATTTATATTAATTTATATTTTTTTTACAATATATATTGGTTTTTAATATAGATGAATTAGCTGATTATGAAGAAATTATTATAAAAAATGTATAGATGTTATGTAACGTATCCAATATAATTGATGATGTATTTGTATCGAAATGGATACTTCTAAAGGTATAGTTAACCAAGTTTGATTATTAAACGTTAATAGTTAAAAAAACTATATAATATATTTTGTCTATATTACTTGAATCAGAGATCTGGCGGGCAAATTTACAAAAAATTATAATGGGCCTGGAGAATGGAAATTATACACATAACAATCATATAGGCCCTCGCAAATCTCCGATTTTCCATTTATACTAGGCCAGACTATTTTTGATAAATTTGTGAAAGTTCTTAAATTTTATAAAAAAATAGGCCTATATTCTAGTTTATTCAGTGAAAAAAAAATACCCTTTTGTTTAAAAATGTGTAAGAAATGATATTGTTTTCATTTACAAAGATATTACATTTTAAAATTAATAAAAAATTTAGTTTATTAAATTTAATTTTCCGTAATACACGTATCGCGCCAAAGCATGCCCGATGTTTTCTGGAAATGCGCGTCGCAGCTCAAAAATACTTGACACTAATTACGTGATACACCATGACTTATTGGTGGGGGTATTTTCCATATTCAGGCATTGGAAATTTATTGAGGAAGAATATTATGTTAAGTGTGGATCAAATTAAATTAGGAAACAAGGAATTGTATAGAAGATTTCTGAGGCACCTATATAGGTGAATAATATGCAAATTCGGGATCTGGGTTGGTATTTAGACCAAATCTACCTGGTACATGTTTTTAAAAATTTAACCCGCTAGCTGGCCAGTCCATAGTTTTTTAAAAATTATACACGTACTCAGATCGAAAAATTTTCTCTAACCCACACTAGAGGTCTGTAAATGGCAAAATTTTAAAACCAGGCCCAGTTTTTGCTTGGCCCATAAAAACTTGTACCTGGTCCAGTTTCTTAAAATCCAGATATATGTCATGGAAAATTAACCCAGATGAAGATTTCTATAATTTTTTTATTAAAGCAATAAGCACAGATTGTAGAAATAAAAATCGTAGAATGATCATGCATAAGGTAATTTAATCATTATAATTATATACAAAATAAAATAGATTATTTTAATAAAATTTGAAAGATTAAATTCAGGCTCTAATTCTTTAATTTTCAAAGATCTTCATTATCAAACTTCACTATTTAAAGAGTTTTAAATATATGACTTCTATCCCATCCATTTTTTCAAAAAGGTTTTTTTTTGTGAAAAAAGATTTTCTTATATCTTCATTTAAAAGCTATTTAAAATATGATGTTAGTGAAATTCAATGTCAAGTCATATTGGTTTTAGGCAAAACCAGTTGATGGACTGGTCTTTTTTCAGAGGACCATGGTCCATATTGTTTTTTCTTAATTATACTGTCGAGACAATGTTCCAGTCTTTTATTATTTAAGTTTCCCTAACTATTCAAATCATATAATTTAACCAATTTTTTTTGTATACTAATTTAATTTTATATTGTTTTTCTTTTTTAGTTTATTTTTATATTGTAACGAAAACAAAAATTATTTCAAAAAAGAATTATACATTTCGATTGAATATTTGTATTATTTATTATATCATTCATGTCAAAATACTTTTATATTTAATAAGATGATAAAACAAGAATCAAATTAGGCAAGAATAAAATTATTTTTAAAATAACCAAAATAATAAAAAGACTAGTCTTTTTCTGGGGACCAAGTACATGATTTTCACTAATAATTAGGAGCTGTTATACTTTATTTATTAACTCTTAAGAAAATTATTATTTGGACATAATTTATCTAGCAAAACTATTTCTAAAAGTGATTAATATTATGTTACACCTATTTTTTAAGGGGATGCAGCTTTTTACTTCAGAAAATTCATCTAATTTAGATTTTTAATTAAAATCTTGTGCTGGGTTCAGACTTAAAATTTGTAGGGCTCTATATTTTCAGATCAGAGATATTTTGATATAAAATAAAATTAAGAAGAAAAAAGTCTACTAAACAAAATAGGAAGAAATAACAATATTTATCATTATAAACTTCCAATATACATAATATATAATACTTGTTTAGACATACATGTGAATTTGATATAGATCTATTATAAATATTTATTTTTTCAATATCCTTGTTTTTAATGTAGTCCTTGATTCTTGTAACAATTTATGTTCTTCCATTTTTAATTTTCGATTCCTTTGCCAAGAACGCCATCTAATAGTACGATGTTTTTCCCTTAATTCTCTCCAAAAGGGAATGACCTCATCATTGGGAATCATATATTCTTTATAATTTTTTGCTTTTTCCTCAGAATTAATTTCAAATGGTATGGGCCATTCATTAGCTTCTCTGTAAACTTTGATACCTAATGGATGCCATAATACTTTTCCTTCCCTATCAATCTTGGTGCCTTTTTCTAATTGGCTTAAACTATTATTTCTTTCCTGAACAACATTTTCCAAATTGGCCATACTTTCTTCTACCTTTAAAATAATTTAAAAATTATTACCAATACAACAATTACTTTATCTATCCTTTCTGGGCTTGCAAATAATTTATTTATTCTTTTACATTCAGATTGCATAGTAAGTAACATATTTTTCTCTTTATATAAAATAAACCTATAAAAAAAACTTTATTATAAAGATAAAGTAATAAAAACCATAATTTATGAAGATCTTGATTGCTTTTAATTCTTAAATCTTCTTTGAGCCAAGATTTGCCTTAACTATCATGATAATTTATGCATAAAATATGAGTTATAAAACCATGTTTGATATCAGTTTTATCCCAATTTTCTGGGATATCAAAAAACTCCATTAAATTAGACACGCGTAGAGTAATTGAAAATTTTTTAGGCATGTTGATTGATACGATAGAACTTTTGCTGACAAATATATAAATATATAAGAATTTTATATTTTTACCATAACAACTTAACTATCCTGTGTAGCATCTCAAATTTCAAACGGCGATTGATTGATTCATTAAGTTAGAAAAAAACCATTAGAAAAAATTATTTATAACGCTTTGTTTAATAGTCACACCTCATTTCTTTAGTCCTGAGAATGAAATATAAAGGAATGGTTATAAGAGAATTTTAATAGTTTCTGTAATCAAAACAAATAATATCATTTATTCGAAACCTGTCAAAATCAATATTAGGCGTCTGTTACTTTTATATAATAACTTGTAAAATCCTATTAATTTCAAATGCCTTCTACAACCGATTCCGACTCTGGACCTGATGATGTAAAGTTTTGAATAAAATATTTAAATTTATACAATATTCTTAGATAGAACCTGTTAAAAAGAAGGGAAAGATAGAAAACACTAAGACGAAAATTCCAACAAAGGAAAAAAAGGATAATTCATTAATGCAGGTATTACAATTTGCTATAAAAATATCATTGAGATATATCTACATATTATTATAAATAGTCATTATTTTATATAATATTAATTTATTTTAGGAATTATTTGAAATTATAAGTATTTTATTTAAAAAATAAAATAATATTTTTTTAAAAAATTTATTGTAGCTAGGTAGGATGAGATATATCAGTGTATCGGAATGGAAAGGTAAATCAATGGTGAATATAAGAGAATATTATACAAATGATGCAGGGGAAATGAAACCTGGGAAAAAAGGTTAATTTTATGAATTGTGGTTATATTATATACAAAAGTATTTGATTTACTATTATAATATATCATTTAAAAAATAATGTTAAGGCATATCATTATCTTTGGATCAATGGACAAAATTAAAAGACCATATACCTGACATTGACGCACAAATTAAAGAATAATATAAACATTGAAATATTTTTTGTATAAATTTTAAAGCATTAAATTGTTATAATTTAGATAAAGTGAAATTTAAACAATAAAAATGGATTAAATTTTTTTTTAGAGAATGATATGTACCAGACTAAATTAACATTGGCAAATGCTAAATAGACAGTGCAAGTACATCAGTAAAATCTTAGATAGATGGAACTTAAAAGTAGGATATAAAACAATAGGGCTGTGCCAATATTAAAATGACCTATTTATAAAAGTTGGCATATCTAGATACTTTTTATGCAGAAACATTCTGAAATACCAATATAACATTAAAACTTGTTTTAGAGCAAAATAATTATATGGAGGCATCAAAATTGGCCTATCAAGAATTTGATTGGATTGGCAAAAAATTGTTGAAAATCAACCCACAACATTAGACTTATTTTTTTTTCTATTGCTAACATTTTATAAAAAAATTTTGTTTGATAAATTAAAAAAAAATATTTATTAACATTTTAAAATAGTTATGCATTCAAATTTTATGCTTCTCTTGTGGCAATTCTGAGATATGCTCATTTATAACCATATCATTAATGTTGGCACAGACCTAAAGAACAGTATTCATTCTAGTTTCCTTATTGTAGTGGATGTAGTGTTAAACGGCTTGATTTGAGCCAATTTTTAAAAACGGCTAACTCAATATTTTATACAGAAAAATATTACTCAAGCCTGAAGATTTTGCTCATAGATGGCACAAAGGTCTAGACATCTAATAGCGAAATCTGGAGCTTTAAAAAATATTTCTTTGGCTAAAATATTGAGTTAGCCGTTTTTAAAAATCGGCTCAAAATAAGTCGTTTAAACACTAGGTGGATGCATCCAGGACAAATCCTAATCAACTATTATTGGGGCTGTTTTAAATGGACTGAATGTGTCCTAATGCAAACCTTAGGATTGGGTCTATCCCAACCCGAGTTTAGTGTTGTTAATCGGCCGATTTTTAAAAACGGCTAACTCAATATTTCATCCAGAAAAATATACACAAACCTGAAGATTTTGTTTATAGACGGAACAAATGTCTAAGCATATATTATCGAAATCTTGAGGCTTAGTCAATATTTTTCTGACTAAAATATTGAGTTAGCCGTTTTTAAAAATCGGCTCAAAATGAGCCGTTTAACAACACTACCAGAGTTTTAGGACCAGACACATTTTAACATTTTTTTCCAACTAAATAACAAATGTTGTGCCAAATAAATGGATATAATAAACAACAAAATATTAGATTATTTCATGATAAATCAACAAAAAAACGATTTTTGGGGGTTGATTAAAATACGCGCTCTCTATCAAAGAAGCGAAATTTAAATTAATATAGAATCGTATTTAGCATGATTTAGAAAATGTTTTTTTTTAATTTAAAAAAAAGGTAACATAATAAAATTTTAAAAAATAATTTTTTGACATGATTAAAATATGCGCTCTCATAAGCGCACTCAATAAATATGCACTATTTATAAAATATGAACTCAGAATCATGTTTAGCTCATTAAAAGAATTCAGATAATGATAATATTAGATTTTAAAATTTTTTATAACTTAGTGGACTTGAAAAAACTTTTTTTTTGACTAAACTACACGCTCTAGGTAAAAATACGATTTTTTAAAAAAAATGAACGCAGAATCTTATTTAGCTCATTAAAAGGATTTAGAAAATATTAAAATTAAATTTATAAATTTTTGTAACTTTTTTGAAAAAAAACCACTTTTTTTCTTTGTTTTTGACTAAATTACACGCTCTTGGTAAATATATGCTATTTTTTAAAAATAAAAGCAGCATTGTATAGCTCTTTAAGGAGATTCAGAAAATGTAGTATTCATTGCAGAATCATGTTTAGCTCATCGAGGAGATTCAGAAAATGGTAGTATTTGTTTTTTTTGTCTTAAATACGCACTCTTAGTAAATGTACTAAGATAAAATTCTATAATCGAATATATTTTTTTTATAAATATATATTTCAAAATACACTATTAATTAAATTTTTACATTTCTTAGTTAAAAACAAAGTTTGGAATTTAATCCTAAAACCGGAATAAAGCAGAACCTATTTTATATTGTATCTATTTTAAAATTTGCTGTAGCTATTTTAGCATATAATAATTGCCGATATTTTATTAGTGTATCTTTGTTTAAAAATTTATATCAAAATGTATAACTTATGTTTTATTAGAATATAGAGAATATATGGTAATTAGTAATGATTCACAAAGTAACTCATAATAAAGCTATAATTTATATAACCGGATGTTTAAATAAAAGTTGTGTTTTAAAATCTTTATTAATAGAAGGCTTTTATTAAAAGGTTGTAATACTATTAAGCATATTGCAATTATTTTTTAAAAAATAACTTCCATTTTTTAAATATATTTTATTACTGGATCCAATCTATCATATATCACCTCCCTAAGATGGAACCACAAAGTTGTCTTAAGAAAATTAGTACTTACTGGATTCGAACTCAAAACTATCGGATTGACAAGCGAGGCTTATATTAACTATAATTTTTTAATGAGTTTTCTTTGAGAAAATTGAGATAAATATTGTTAAGATTTAAAAAAAAATATTATAAGCTACTCAAAATATTCTGAAAATATATATGCTAGATATGCTTCAAATAAGTTTGGGATTCTATTTTTTAAAAACTTAGTACACATATAACGAAAGTTTGGATGGATTTATAGCATGATTGAAAAATATTAATTACAATGACTAGATCCCGTTGATAAGCTGAACATGATTCTGCATAAATAACCTTTATTTACCAAGAACGCGTATTTTAGTCAAAAATATTATTTTTTTGAGAATTAAAATTTAAATAAAATTAAATAAATTCTACATTTCCTGAATTCGAAGAGCTAAACATGATTCTGCATTCATTTTTAAAGATAGCTTATATTTACCGAGAGCGCGTATTCGGGGATGCGTATTTTAGTAGCCCAATAAGTGTTTTTTTGATATTTGTAAATACCATTTTCTATATTATCGGAATATGATAGCGTATATTTACTGAGAGCGCGTATTTTAGAACAGATATTTTTTTTTTGATAATTAAAATTTAAAAAAAGCATTTTCTGAATCTCCTCGAAGGGCTAAGCTAGATTCTTCATATTTTTTAAAATAGTGTATATTTACTTAGAGCGCGTATTTTAGTCAAAAAAAATTTTTTTCGATAATTTAAATTTTTAAAAAAAAAATGAATATTGCCATTTTCTGAATCTTATTGACAAGCTAAACATGATTCTGCATTTTTTTAAAAATAGGGTATATTTACCGAGAGCGTTTAGTAGCTTGTAACTTAGTCAAAAAGAGGAAAAAAATGTTTTTCCAAAAGCACTAAATCCTTTTAATGAACTAAATAAGATTCTGCGTTCATTTTTTTTAAAAAAAGCATAATTTACCGAGAGCGCATAGTTTACTCAAAAAAAAATATGTGTTTATTTAAAGTCCACTAAGTTATAAAATATTTTAAAATTTAGTATTAACATTTTATGAATTCTCTTAATGAGCTATTTATGATTCTACGTTCATTTTTTATAAATAATGCATATTTTTTGAGAACGTGTAGGTGCGCTTATTTTAGTCATGTAAAAAAAATTATTTTTTAAAAATTTTATTACATTATATTTTTTTTAAATTTAAAAAAAACATTTTCTAAATCATCTTGTAAAGCTAAATGCTATTCTATAACAATATTATTTAAATTTAGCTTTTTTGATAGAGAGCGCGTAATTTCCGAGAACGCGTATTTTAGTCCCGATTTTTTTTAACAATTCTCTTTAAAATAAACATTAAATTTTATTTATGCTCTAAATTTTATTATAATGGGAATTTTAGAACATTATATCAACCAGATCCAAAAATATATGTCTTTTAATATATCAAATCTTGATTTCATTAAATCTTTTTTTTAAATATTCATGTGGGAGTCACAAATTGTATAACATTTCGAGCCCTGAAAAGTTTACTTATGCAAATATTTGTAAAAAAATTCAAATATTTACAGTATTTTCATAAGTCCAGTAAAATTTAACGAATTTAATAAAAGAATATTTTTAAGGTGCTGAAACTCGCTAGGAATGATTAGTATCTTTATATTTAACTGTTTAATTTAATTAAAACATTTAATCTTATTATTTATCTTAATAAAAAAGATATAATATGATTGGCGTTATAAATAAAATCATTATAATATATTTTATAGAACAAGTTTGTAATATTGTAAAAAAACCCAGAGTATCGAATATTTGCATTATTTGTATTTGATTCATATTTTCAAATCGAATAATTGTTTTAAATAAATAATTGTTCATATCATGGGTCATCTTGATATTTATTTTTGTATTAAAATTATATCGCGATATATTTGGAGTGGTATTTGTGATTGGCTAAAGTAATCATTTTTCTTTGTTCAAAGTTATTTTGTTTTTTGTTATAATTTTATTTTTATTATTTCTATATGAATAAATGGCTCGATTTGAGCCTATTTTTAATAAAAGTGAATTCAATATTTTAGAAAAATATTGCCTAAACCTCGAAATTTCGTTAGTCCTTTTTGTCACCTATCAGTGAAATCATTAAACTTGCGTAATTTCTCTGGATAAAATGTTAAGTTAGCCATTTTTTAATATCGAGCGTTTAACAACACTAATTTGAAATGTTTTATTGATGTTATTTATGTGGAATGTCTAATTTTTTAAAAATAATTAAAGTGGAAAAATATATAGTAATAGCTGATTACTAGCAAAAATCGAAAGGGTTTACATCAGGGGCGTCGCTAGCCTCTACAATCTTAGGGGGCTCAACTAATAAAAATTTTATGGAGGCTTCGCCCCCTTTACCCCTCATTTTGTGAGCCTTCGGCTCGCCTTTGCCTGACCTTCGGTCGGGTTTTATATTAATATTTTGTACTTTTTTATAATTTTCCAACTTTAAACAATTATTCAGAATTCAATATTTTGTCATTTATTATATTTTGCATACAAAATAATCTAGCATTTAAATAATCAAAACAATTCTAAAAATAATATTTTTTAATACAAAA